AAGCGATGGGATGGAGAAGCTTCATCCATAGGGTTGAGGAGCCTCATCCGTGGTGTTCCATGGGGTGGAGAATCTTCATCCATGAGATGGAAAAGCCTCGTCTGTGGTGTTCTGTGGGATGGAGGAGCCTCATCCTTGGGGTGGAGAATCTTCATCCATGAGATGGAAAAGCGATGGGATGGAGAAGCTTCATCCATAGGGTTGAGGAGCCTCGGTGGGGTGGAGAAGCTTCACCCACCATGGGATGGAAAAGCCTTGTCTGTGGTGTTCTGTGGGATGGAGGAGCCTCATCCTTGGGATGGAGAATCTTCATCCATGAGATGGAAAAGTGATGGGATGGAGAAGCCTCATCCATAGGGTTGAGGAGCCTCATCCGTGGTGTTCCATGGGGTGGAGAATCTTCATCCATGAGATGGAAAAGCCTCGTCCGTGGTGTTCTGTGGGATGGAGGAGCCTCATCCTTGGGATGGAGAATCTTCATCCATGAGATGGAAAAGCGATGGGATGGAGAAGCTTCATCCTTGAGGTTGAGGAGCCTCGGTGGGGTGGAGAAGCTTTACCCACCATGGGATGGAGGAGCCTCATCCTTGGGATGGAGGAGCCTCATCCTTGGGATGGAGGAGCCTCATCCTTGGGATGGAGGAGCCTCATCCTTGGGATGGAAAAGCCTCGTCCATGGTGTTCTGTGGGATGGAGGAGCCTCATCCATGGGGTGGAGAATCTTCATCCATGAGATGGAAAAGCGATGGGATGGAGAAGCTTCATCCATAGGGTTGAGGAGCCTCGGTGGGGTGGAGAAGCTTCACCCACCATGGGATGGAAAAGCCTTGTCTGTGGTGTTCTGTGGGATGGAGGAGCCTCATCCTTGGGATGGAGAATCTTCATCCATGAGATGGAAAAGTGATGGGATGGAGAAGCCTCATCCATAGGGTTGAGGAGCCTCGGTGGGGTGGAGAAGCTTCACCCACCATGGGATGGAAAAGCCTCGTCCATGGTGTTCTGTGGGATGGAGGAGCCTCATCCATAGGGTTGAGACGCCTCATCCGTGGTGTTCCATGGGGTGAAGAAGCTTCATCCTTGGGATGGAGAAGCCTCGTCCGTGGTGTTCTGTGGGATGGAGGAGCCTCATCCTTGGGATGGAGAATCTTCATCCATGAGATGGAAAAGCGATGGGATGGAGAAGCTTCATCCATAGGGTTGAGGAGCCTCATCCGTGGTGTTCCATGGGGTGGAGAATCTTCATCCATGAGATGGAAAAGCCTCGTCTGTGGTGTTCTGTGGGATGGAGGAGCCTCATCCTTGGGGTGGAGAATCTTCATCCATGAGATGGAAAAGCGATGGGATGGAGAAGCTTCATCCATAGGGTTGAGGAGCCTCGGTGGGGTGGAGAAGCTTCACCCACCATGGGATGGAAAAGCCTTGTCTGTGGTGTTCTGTGGGATGGAGGAGCCTCATCCTTGGGATGGAGAATCTTCATCCATGAGATGGAAAAGTGATGGGATGGAGAAGCCTCATCCATAGGGTTGAGGAGCCTCGGTGGGGTGGAGAAGCTTCACCCACCATGGGATGGAAAAGCCTTGTCCATGGTGTTCTGTGGGATGGAGGAGCCTCATCCTTGGGGTGGAGAATCTTCATCCATGAGATGGAAAAGCGATGGGATGGAGAAGCTTCATCCTTGGGGTTGAGGAGCCTCGGTGGGGTGGAGAAGCTTCACCCACCATGGGATGGAAAAGCCTCGTCCGTGGTGTTCTGTGGGATGGAGGAGCCTCATCCTTGGGATGGAGAATCTTCATCCATGAGATGGAAAAGCGATGGGATGGAGAAGCCTCGTCCATAGGGTTGAGGAGCCTCATCCGTGGTGTTCCATGGGGTGGAGAAGTTTCATCCATGGGATGGAAAGGCCTTGTCCGTGGTGTTCTGTGGGATGGAGGAGCCTCATCCTTGGGATGGAGAATCTTCATCCATGAGATGGAAAAGCGATGGGATGGAGAAGCTTCATCCATAGGGTTGAGGAGCCTCATCTGTGGTGTTCCATGGGGTGGAGAAGCTTCATCCTTGGGATGGAGAAGCCTCGTCCATGGTGTTCTGTGGGATGGAGGAGCCTCATCCTTGGGATGGAGAATCTTCATCCATGAGATGGAAAAGCGATGGGATGGAGAAGCTTCATCCATAGGGTTGAGGAGCCTCGGTGGGGTGGAGAAGCTTTACCCACCATGGGATGGAAAAGCCTCGTCCGTGGTGTTCTGTGGGATGGAGGAGCCTCATCCTTGGGATGGAGAATCTTCATCCATGAGATGGAAAAGCGATGGGATGGAGAAGCCTCGTCCATAGGGTTGAGGAGCCTCATCCGTGGTGTTCCATGGGGTGGAGAATCTTCATCCATGGGATGGAAAGGCCTTGTCCGTGGTGTTCTGTGGGATGGAGGAGCCTCATCCATAGGGTTGAGGAGCCTCAGTGGGGTGGAGAAGCTTCACCCACCATGGGATGGAAAAGCCTTGTCTGTGGTGTTCTGTGGGATGGAGGAGCCTCATCCATGTGCTCCTTGGGGTGGAGGAGCCTCATCCTTGGGGTGGAGGATCCTCATCCGTGGTGTTCCATGGGATGGGGGAGCCTCTTCCATGGGATGAAGGAGCCTTGTCCATGGTGTTCCATGGGATGGAGGAGCTTCTTCCATTGGCTCTTGGCTGGTGGGGCGGGGGAGATTTGGACCCCCCCTTTCCGCACGAGGGTGTTAAAATTCAGCCATTGGATTTGGGCACAACCTTAAGGAAACGGGCCATGGAATAAGGGTAAAAAAAGGGTGATGGGGGATACGACCCATGGTTTTCTCTGGGATTTTACTTTAGGGTCTAAAAATGGGATCATCTTTGCCAAAAGATGCACATTCATCCCAAAAATTCTTTAATGTGTTTCTAAGATGAAGGGGGATTTAAGGATTATATCCAGGTTGGAAGTGGTCGGGATAACACCCTAGCTGCCTATATATATATTTATTATTATTTTTCCTATATATATTTCCATATATATATATTTATGGGGGAAGGGGATTTAAGGATTATATCCAGGTTGGAAGTGGTCGGGATAACACCCTAGCTGCCTATATATATATTTATTATTATTTTTCCTATATATATTTCCATATATATATATATTTCTGGGGAGTATTTGGGTGTTCTTGGAGCCCGTAACCCTCCCTGGATAATATATTTGTGATTCCCAGACCCCTTTGGGCTTGGATTTCCCCCCAAATTCCGGAGGGAGGGAAAGGGAGAATGTGCCCCCCCCTGGCCCCGTATGTGGGGAAAAAAATAATAAATAAAAGCAAAACCCCTTCCTGGGGGGGGAATGAGCCCCAGATTGTCCCATTTGTGTTTTTCCTGGCATTTTTGAGCACGGGGGAGTTTGGGGAAGTGCAAATGTCACTGGTGAACGGGGGTGGGCTGAGCTGCTGCTCTTTTCCTCCCCAAAAAAAGCCGGAATTCGCCACATAACACTCATTTTTTTAACATTTTCATTATTATTATTATTCTTACCCAGAAGGAACTCGCTGCCCTTTATCGCAGTGAGGTTTTTTTTTCATTTAGAAACTCTTGAACGTTTTTATAAGGGGGGCTGGAGGAGCCAAACATCTGGCTGCTAATTAGGGACCTGCCCTCCATCCTTAATGGGGCAGAGTGGGATTCTCCTGCCAAATTTTCCTGCGAATGCCCTCGGATTTGGGATCGCCTTGAGGGGGCCCAGGGTAGCCCTGAGATCACTCTGCTGATAAAGGAATATTAATTAGGTTTTTTCCTGTCCATAAAGTTAATAAAAGGATGATTAGCGAGCGGGGAAGATAATAATTTATAACCAATTTATAAATAATTTAACCAACAAACCCAGGAAATTCCGGATTAAAGCGTCGCCGTTGGACTCAGGGCTGGGGAGTTTTGCCCATCTTTAGGAATAATCCTAAAAAAAAAGGACATTTTCTTAAGGCACCGGGGAGTTTTGCCCATTTTTTAGGAGTAAGCCTAAAAAGAGAACTGCTTTTAAGCAGCAGGGAAACAAACAGGTTTGTTCATCCCCAAAATACTCGTATTTTCTCCCAATTCACCGACGCTTCCCCCAAATGTTTATTTTTTTCCCCCTCTTTTTCATTTTCAGCTCGGGGTGAGTTTCTCCCCGGTGGTTTCTCCTCCTCGACGGCAGAATTTTTTTGCTCATAACCCTTTAATTGCACCAAAAAAATAATAATACCCCCCCACACCTCCCCCACGGAGGGGTTTGTTGCGTCCGAGCGCCCGGCTGCTCCTGGAGGAATGCAGAAAATCAGGATTTTGGGTGTGCAGGGAGAGCACACACCTCTCTCCCTCTTAAAACCTGTAAAAAACTTAAATATTTACGTAATTCCCCCCCCGGCCGGGCTGGTTTGGCTCCTTCTGGGATGGAAATCCAGAGGGGGGCACTTAGATTTTTTGAGACAAGTGGAATTGGCTTTTGCCCGAAAAGGGGCTTTTTGTTTGGGTTCTGCAGGAGCAACATCTAATTAAGGGGGGGTTTTGGTTTTGCTTTTATTCCC